CATCATGAACACATAAAGCTCCCTGTAGTTTGACCGCTGCTCTTTTCATCACCACATCAGGTGTGTTTTCTGTGATTACTTCCTTCTTTAATCCCATCACAAAAAACATTAGATTGTTCTCCTGTTAAAAGCTTAAATACATCAAAATGCGCAAACATATAATCCAATCAGTTAACCTTAGAGTGTAAATTCACAAGGAGAATCTTTAACAGCTAGACTGATGTAATAGTTTGATTTGATCACAAATGCCTAATTAAAGGTAGAAAAAAAATCCTTATCAGTCACATCCTCAATGACAAGAATGAGGGAGTAAGCAGATTTAGATTCTTTTTATTATTGTTTTCAAATAATAAAGATTCACTAAATCCCACCAGAAGAACTTTCTTCCATTCAGTTTGTCTTATAACCAAAAGTTTAAAACCAAATGAGCTTAGAAAATTGTTTCAAAGAAGTTATGCTGTTGGCATAAACGTTAAAAAAGTGGGAAGAAGTGTTTCTCATATTGGCCGATGTTCTGAGCAGGTTCTGCACATTCAGACCAGAGCCCCCAGGTATCCCCGGATGAACAGAACTGTTTTTTGTTGTTTTTTTACAGTGTCCTGTCTGGCAAAGAGCCCAACAGATTTTACTAACACAAGTGGAGTAGTCGCCATAGTGTTCCACTTGATTTATACATATAAATAGCTTTATTATTCATCATGCAGGGAGTATTACAGATTATATGGACACTGCAATGTAAGTAGAACAGGAAAGAAAAACAGAAAAAAGTAGAAAAGATTAAAGAAAGAGAGGATAAAAGGGAGATAACGATAAAACATGGTTAGTGTGCTTCATCGCCTGCAAAGAGATGTGAAAAGAAAGACAAACAATGGATACAGTATTAGAGATACAATAAAGCAATAAGTTGGTACCATTGCTGAAGTATAAGCAGTACTATATCTGACATGTATACCGTGGTAGCTGAAGGTAAGAAAATGGGCTTTCTGTATGGAAGTGAATCTCTAAGTACCTGGAAACAAACACCTTTAGTTGTTGGAGAGAGTGCACCTGTGAAGAACTGTTTTTCTCACCATGCAGGTCAGACAGGAACAAAGCTTCTGTCTGACCATGAGGTGCTGTTCAAACAAAGGTGTTCTTTATGCATCTGACGACATTTTTAACAAAGTCAGGCATTTATCGAAGCTAAACATCAAAGCTTGAGCAGCTCTGCGTGACTTTGATTAAAAGACTCTTCTTAAACCGGGAAGTTTTTGTTTATCAGACAACAGTAGAAAACTGAGCAGAATATCAACAGAGAACCAGAGAAACGCCACAAATCTGCATGATGGTCCCAGAGGAGGGGTGCCTTTCATTCAGCTTTGGAGCTGAAACCCAAACATTAGCTCTCTGCAATACTCAGCAGCTCACAAGATCAGAGCAAAGACCAAGATGAAGCTTCTGGAACATTAAAGCAGCCAGATGTGATGGATGGGGGTGTGGACCGTGGGCCGGGCTCTTTCAACCCACATCAGTGCACTGCAAGTTGTTTTCTTCTGCAGCTCTCGTGCAGATGTTGGGATGCAAACAGGATGAGCAGCAATATTCAAAGGCTAAACTGATGACAGACAGTCAGAGCAGTTTGTCCTGCGACAGAAGCGAGGAAGGGAGGGTTCTGGAACGCCAGCTCTACGCAGAGGACATTTGTACAGTTAGTCAGTCACATTCTGCACGTTCACACAGGATCTGCAGCGCCACTTCGTACGCGCTCTGAATCACATCACACTTACTTCCTGTGCGGCAGCTGAGGAGCTGTGAGAAGTTCAGGCCTGGAGCCTCATACTGCAGCTGATCCTATCAGGCTGCTCTGCCACTACAGCTCTGGACTAGGATGGGAGACCTGCAACATTTGGGTGACTTTATGACCACAAGCAGGGTGTGCTTAATATGCATCCTTTACTAGAAAACATCTATGGCACCAAGTCTGAATGCTTCTGTTTCTCAGTCATTTTTCAGACTCCAAACTGGGAATGGAATGGGAAAGAAATGGAATCAAATGAGCAGATTCCAAAGGATTTTCTCTAAAATGTGGATAACATGAAAGATATGAGCTGGACAAGGACGTTGTTACAGCAGAAAGGTTCTGGAGGGAAAAGAGGAGCCATCCAGGCAGCCTACGTGTGACTGCTCACATTCTCTGTGTTCTCCCTTCCTCGCCCCTCCTCCATCCTCCTCCTCCTCAGCGTCCCTCCGCCCCTCCCTGCAGAAACAAACAACCCAACGGAGGCGCGCCGCTCCTGGGTCAAGCCTGTATGGCATGCTGTATTGCCATATAATCAAACCGCACCTCCCAGTCACATTTGAAGACGTAAACATTAACTGATCTATATAGGAGCAGAAACACAGAGGAAAGTCCATTTATTTTAATATTAATATATTTGTATAGATAAATAATTGCTTATGGAAGTTTTTCTCACCGAACCCCAAACGTCCCCACCTTGCCATGGGAGTAACTTCGTTAGAAGCCGTATAATCGCAACACTTTGGTATTTTTCTATATCATTTACAAAAAAACAGAGGAAAAAATGTGTATTATATTTAGTGCAGTGGATCAGACCGACATCAAACCGTTTAAAGAACCTCAGCTCTGAAAACTAATTGAGGGACTATTTAAAGGGTTTTTATGAAAATTTTGAACTGTCATTTAATAGGAAAACTCCTTCTATAAAATAATCCAATTAAAGCTTCACCGGAGGCTTAAGGAACCAATGGGAGCAAGAACCTGATATATATATATATATTTGTTCATACTGATGTTATACCCATCAATCAATTTATACATTGTAATCAGCAGTGAGGAGCATGTGTTGACTTCCATTGACTTTCAGTTGTTTCCACACCCTAACCCTGACAATAAACCTAAACCTAACCAAAGAACGCCTCATCTGAACCGGAACCCAATTCCTACTTTAGTCACTTTTAGCAAAAAGGAAGAGAGAACTGGCAATGTCCTCACTTCGATTGTGAAATTGGAAAAGACTGCCCCACCAACACAGGAGTACACACACACACACACACACACACACACATACAAGTTTGTATTTCTATTGAGACTATAAATTGTTTCCCTCCAACACCCTAACCTAAGCATAAGGCAGGGGTGAATGCAGGCCCGATCAGGCGGCTCACTCTGACTTTACTTCCTCCAATTCACTCCACTCTTTCCATTACTTTTCACTTCTCTTCCTCACGTTTTTTCTTTTCATATATAGTCCTGTTTAAAATTCTTCCCAAATCATGAACCTGGTTCAGCTTGAAACATGAGAATCTCATGAAAAAAGGACCTTTGATTCTCTGAAACTGCCTTAGTCATTTGGCAGGATGGGGAGACTCATCAAGTGTGTTCTTCATCTAACCTAAGTCTAAGCTTAACCATTACCACTCTATTCCTAACCCCAAACCATTACTAGTTGATTCCTTCCCTTAACCTAAAGTTAATTTACAAGATACCTCTAAACTCACTCCCTAATGTTAGAAATGGGGGTCCACTACATAACGACCAGCCTTCAGTCCCTATAAGGCATTTTGGCCCTCACAGGGTTAGTAAATATACCATAAACGGTCCTAAATAGATAATCTGATTTTACTACTCTGGTTTGGACTTTCCATTTAATTCCATTCCTTTGTAGGTGACTTCTACAGCCTAACTGTGACCCTTATTCTACACCTAACCATTACGGGTTCATACCTTAGTCCTAACCTAAACTCAATTCACACCTTGGTCCTAAACCTAACACCTAACCCTAAAATAGAGCTTGTAACCGTTGCATCGGGGCTCCTCTTCCCTCCATTAAAGACGTTTCATCCCAGCGCTGCGTGTCCCGAGCCCGTAAATTCATAAATGACCCCTCACACCCCCACCATGGACTGTTCTCTCTGCTGCCCTCTGGGAAGAGACTTTAAAGCATCTGATGCAGGTCCAGCAGATTCCAGAACAGTTTCTTTCCCACTGCCATTAGACTTCTGAATGTTGTGTGAGATGGGTTATGTTATTTAATTTAAAAAAAAGAAAAAAATTAATGTTAGAACTGTAAATATACAGTCAGGATGTTGATATTACTATTTTTTTAATGTATTTATTACTGTTTATAAAGTCTGCACTTTAAAAAATGAAATTGTCTAGAGCTGTTTTAAACAAAATGTCTTTTTGTATACACTCATGTAGACACAATGACTAAACAAATCTGTCGAAGTCTAACCATGGGGGCCAGGCTAAAGCAGTCGGTCCTTATGGTGTGCTATGATTTATTCATAGTAGTTCCCTCAATGTGACAAATAGTAACGGCCTAGTGGTTAGGGCATAGAGCTTGGAGTCCAGAGGTTTTGAGTTTGAAACCCACTCCCACAGACTGCCACTCTGGGTCTCTGAGCAAAGACCTGTGATTGCTCCCGGGCGCCCCACGATGGCAGCCCACTGCTCCCCAAGGGTATGGGTTAAATACAGACATACATTTCTCCAATGTGAGATCAATGTTTCAATAAAAGTTCAATGAAAAAAAATAAATAAATACAAAAAAAAACACACACACACACAGGGACTGGCACTGGTTGCATATACAATGTTTTACATATTTTTCTCTGTTTCTTTTTGTGTGTTTTTTTCGCTCTCTGCTCTGTGAAATTCGTTTTGTTTTATATTGACAAGTAAATACGGTTGTTCTGTGAATATTCATTTTGACTTGCCGTATTATATCTTATATTGGCTTGCCATACCGTGGGTATAGGAAAACTACTTTGGGGAAGGAGTGACATACTGGCTTCAAACAGGGCGGGGCTAAACAGATTGTACCCAATCAGATTTAGCAGCGCTCCGGTGGGCGGATGTTTTTGTTTTTCCTCTGCAGCCAATCAGAATCCGGGCCCCGCCCCTCTCTGTTCCTCTTATAGAGTGTGTCCCCCCCCCCCAGCCTGCAGGTTGTTGTTGTTGGACTGAAGGCTATTTTCTTCTCTTCATGGTTGTTCAGACGTTAAGGATGAAGATCCAGGAATCGCCCGTCGCTTGTGACGTGGGAAGGATCGGAGGGGGAGAGGTTCGCGCCTCGGAACCGGACCGAGACGACGTTCCCCGTCTGGACCTGACAGCTCTGACCGAGAACAGCAGCTGGGGAGGTGAGGCTTCACTTCCTTCCTTCCTTCATTTCATGGCTGCAGCTCTAACTGTGGTTCTGCAGCTGAACAGAACCAGTCCTCTCTGGGCCTCCAGCTCCCTCCTCTGCAGAATCACACCACTTTGCATTGGATCACAGAGTAAAAGGCTGCAGTTTGAGGTCTGTTTGGCTCAACCACCTGCAGCTTTCAGCCAGAACCGTTAGATGGGAGGTTCGGTTCGGCTCAGGGTTGATAATGGTGCTCACAGATGGACTCTATGGAAAGCTCTCTGAAATGTTTCCATTATTCTGATGAGAGAAAACTTGAGTTTACTTATCAGAAAAGTGAAACAATTCAGAGTAGATTGCTGCTCCTCCTCCCCCTGTTCCTCCTCCTCTCCCTCTCTGAATGTTCCTGATCTTCTTGTTTCTTTGTTTTTTTTTTCCTGCATCCATCTGGTGCTGCAGTCAGGAAGTTGCTGGCCTGGTTCTGTGTGACTGTTCTCAGTTTCCCACCAGAACATTTTAAAGAGATGAATGAGATGCAGGATCCTTAGGAGAACATTCAGGGAACTTTCAGAGAACATTCAGGGAACACGCTGTTCTGATTGGCTTTTTGTTCCGGTTCCGCCTGCTGATGCTTACCAGTTTCCTGTTAGCTGTGCTGCAGCCTCATGTCTGTCTGTCTGTCTCGGATGGTCAAACCTGGAAAAATACTGGACCCCCCCACCCCCCACCCCCACTGGTGCTCTCCAGCTGAAGCTCAGAGCTTCAGATCGACCTCCTGCTGCAGGAGGAGATCAGTGCACGCTTTCTAAATGCCCCCTTCAGCCAGCTGACCTGCAGTCCTCAGCAACTGCTCGGTTTCAAGTTTGGAACAGGAAGAAAAATGCTTCTGGAAAGTCAAACATCATGACCTTCATCTAAAAGTTTTCCCTCCTTTCCCCTCAGCATCCTTCCTCCCTTGCTTGTTTTCCTTCCTTCATCCTTTAATTCCTCCTTCTCTCCTTTTCACCATTTTCTTTCTGTCAATCTGTAGTTTCTGAGACTCCATTTAGGTCCATTGAGGTTCTGTGGGTCTGTATAGGTTCTGTAGGTTCCTGTAGGTCCATATCAGATCTTTAGGTCCAAGTAGGTTCTGTGGGTTAATGTAGGTCCATATCGATTCCGCAGGTTCATGTAGGTTCTGTAGGTCCGTATAGGTTCTGTAGGTTCCTGTAGGTCCATATCAGAGCTTTAGGTCCAAGTAGGTTCTGTGGGTTAATGTAGGTCCATATCGATTCCGCAGGTTCATGTAGGTTCTGTAGGTCCGTATAGGTTCTGTAGGTTAAAATAGGTTCTGTTGGTCCATATAGGTTTTATAGTACTGTGTACACAGTGTAGAAATGTGGGACGGTCTGTTGAAGTCAGAGTAATCAGTGGTTCTAAGGAAGGACTTGTTAGAAACTCTAACTGGGAACATGCAGTGCATAATTCCCAGAACCCAGCAGGTTCTGGGTTCTAATGTTCTGTGTTTAATCAAAGGGTGTTTGCTGCAGCCTTTTTGCCACTAGGGGCTGTTATGAGCTGCCGTGTGGTGCTGTAGTCTCTCTTTCACCTCATTCTTCACTGTGTCCATCTCTCCTTTCTCTCTTTGTTCCTGTAGATCCCCCTTTTCCCAACTCCTGTCTCCTCGACTTCCAAAGTGTTTTCCATCCCAGTTGCTGTGATGGTAAGTCCTGCCGCCATCAGAGTAATTACAGCAGAGAAAGGCGCAGCTGTTTGTCTGACCTTCTCCTCTGCACAGCAACATGCTTGAACGATCTGGAACAGAACCAGCCAGTATCAGAATGGACCAGAGGCGGGTTTCTGGTTTCATTAATCTAGTTAATCCCGAACCATCGGTTGATTTAAGGGATTAATTCAAAATGCCATGGAGCCTAACAGGACAGGCTGTGATGGAGTTTCAAACCCGCTGACCCGCCACAGGGCCCCCCGCTCAATATATAATATGACCCGAGTCCAAGAGGACAAAAACCTGCAGGATTCTGGTGCTGAAATCTGAGCTGGACCTCTTCCAGTTTGGGCCAAGTCTTCCCCTAGCTAAGAAAACATGGCAGATCTGCCGTGTTCCTCTGGAGGTTCATCCCAGCAGCTTCCACCCCCTGCTCTTCTTCTTCTCATCCTCCATCAGGTCTCTGAGTTTTCCAGGTTTTCCATCTGTCTGAAATGCTGGCCCAGAATCAGCAACTGTCTCTAAAAAACAAACGTCCCAGCAGGGATGGAGGCCTGACCTTCTCCTCCCGTTAAAAGCTTTGTGATCGTCAGGGGATCCGCTTGGCCTTCCTCCAGCGGGCGGAGGATGGCGGAGCTTCTGGGTTTACAGTATCAGGCATGATCCAACGTTTGGTTCTGATCTGTTTCACTTCTAACAAAACGCTTTTCAGTTTTTAAATTAATTGTTTAATTGATAAAGAACAGGAAGCATGTTCCAGTGACGCCTCCTAGGTGGCGCCACTGTGCAGGCATCTTACTCTGGTATTTTTTAGTTATATTCTTTAAATGGTCATCATGTGGGCCTAGTGGTTAGGGCACAGGGCTTGGAATCCTGAGGTTCTGAGTTCGAGCCCCACTCCTACAGACTGCCACTCTGGGTCTCAGAGCAAAGACCCTTAACCCCACACTGCTCCCTGGGCGCCCCACGATGGCAGCCCACTGCTCCCAAAGGGGAAAGGGTTAAATGCAGAGGTACATTCTCCAAAAGTTCAATTATTATTATGTGGTTGCAGGGATGGTGCTGGCGTTAAGCTTGTGGCCATGTGGAGGCTCTGGTCCTCGAGTACCAAGGGGTCCTGCCCCCTTTTCTCTAATTCCATTTCCTGTTTACCTGCTTTCAAAATAAAAGCTAGTGGTTTCTTGGGGTGAGAAATGTTCTGCCTCAGAACCATTAATGGAGTATGTCCAAATCCCATCAATTCCCCCACATCAGAGTCAAAGTGCAACACTTGTGTTTTCTCAGAACCGATCCCAGCGTGCCCGCTGCAGAGGGAAAGCATGGACCGCGAGGAGGCCCGGCTGTCCCCCCACGCCGGGGGACGCCTCATCCGCCAGCTGGTGGAGGAGGACAGCGATCCTCTCGTGTCTCCTCGTTTCTACGCCTACGGACACAGCCAGCAGTACCTGGATGACACCGAGGTGCCTCCTTCGCCGCCGAACGCTCACTCCTTCATCAGGTAGGACGGATGTTTGCCTGCGTGGCTGCAGGTGAAGGAGACCAGAGGTTGAAGGTGTGATTTTGTCTCTCAGTCGCAGACGGAGCTCATCGCTGGGCTCCTGTGATGATGAGAAGGAGGAGCTGCTGACCTCCGCCCAGCTCACCAAGAGGATTCACGTTCTGAAGAAAAAGATCCAGAGGTTTGAGGAGAAGTTTGAAGACGAGAGGAAATACAGGGTATGTAGTTCTTATGAAGAACCCAGAAACCAAGATTTGTTTCTGATCAGAAAAGCTCATCGTCCTCTGATTTCCAGCCGTCCCACAGCGACAAAGCTGCAAACCCAGAGGTGCTGAGGTGGCTCAACGAGCTGGCCCGACTCCGCAAAGAGCTAAAAGGTACAAAGAAGCGTGGGAGAAGTCAGCAAACAACTGGAAGGTTGATCTTTGAGATGCTACCTCAGATATCTGTCTCCTCTTCTCTCTCCAGAACGTAAGCTGATCAAATCTGAGGAGGACCTAACCCCTGTGACCCGCCAGCGCAGCAACACGCTGCCAAAAAGCTTTGGCTCCCAGCTGGACAAGAAGCCCCAGCAGGAGAAGGCTCCCAAGCCTCCAGTGGAGAGCACCCTGGACTCCATCTTGAAGAAGCTGCAGGAGAAGCGGGAGGAGATGAACCGACCAGAGGACATCAAGGTAAAACCGAGAAGATCCAACGACCAGCGTTTAAAGAAACCGAAGCAGTTCTGACTTTTTCTCCTTTGGCAGGATATGACACGGGACCAAATTGGAGCCGAGAAGGTCGCCCTGCAGAAGGCTCTTCTCCAATATGAGGGCATCCATGGACGGCCTGTGAGTCTTCTTCCATCCCAACCTCTTTATGATTTTAATTTATGATTATAGACCAATAAAAGCATAAGACCAGCGGGTCCCTGGAGAGAAAAATGCTCCTTGGTCCTAATGGATCAGCGTTTTGAATGTAGCTTCAGAGCCTTAAAAACCTCTGCAGACATCTGCTTTTATCTGGTTTACTCAGAAATGTGGGGAAAACTAACAGGAAGTGTTTCTGCTCCAGGTGACCAAGAATGAGCGGCAGATCATGAAGCCACTGTACGACAGATACCGCCTGGTGAAGCAGATCCTCTGCAGGGCCTCCACCATCCCCGTCATCGTAAGTCCTGTTCCCTCCTCTCAGCACACACTATGCACGTCTGCACACGCCTAATCCTGGATGCTGCCTTCTGCCAGAACACGTGGCTGTCACGCCACGGGCGTGTTGTTACCTTCCCAAGCCTTTAAGTCCAGATTTAACAGATCAAAGGATCACAGAGGATCTTTCCCAGGAACTTTAGACCCTTAAAAACAGAGGAAATAAAAAAAACATTTCTATTATAATTTGATGTTATTTAGTTGCACAGGTGCAGATCCAAGCTCCACTCTGTGACTTTTCATTCAAATCAGCCAGCTGTGTCTCCTGGTGCTTTTAGCATCCAGCTGTGGTTAATCCCTCCCTTCTTGACCGTCACCACAGGGCTCCCCCTCCAGCAAGCGCCGCGGCCCCCTCCTTCAGCCCATAATCGAGGGGGAAACTGCTCTCTTCTTCGACGATATCAAGGTGAAGACCTGCTGCCGCTGTTATCCCCCCATCCTCCCCTCTGATGGAGATAGTTGGTGCCTGTTGATTGGGCAGCTGCCTGCTTCCTGCCATCAGCATCAGTTCAGCTGTTTAATCAGCAGCTGTTCATGTTTGAATCATTTAATGTTGACTGATGAAAACCTAGAGAACCATGTTCTCCTTCCATTCATACAGACTAATGGGTACAAACAATGATTTAGGGACTAACCCTGCATGATCCTCCATGTCTAAACCCGTCTGAAGTGGTTCACATTTAACCCTTTGTCCTGCTCTACCTTTTCATTAACCACGCCGTTTTGTTTCTCCTCTCAGGAGGAAGAGGACGGCTCGGAGGATGACGGAGACACAAAGAATCATTTTATGGAGAACATTCAGCCCGAGCTCAGCGTTTTCAGCTTCATGGACGAAGAAGTGGACGGTTTCATTTCCCCCGTAGACGACCTTTCACCCTCAAAAACCACGACAGACATGGGGCTGTCCAACCTGCACTCTGCCACCATGTAAGTGAACGAGCCTGCTGTTTTTACCACTTTACTGGACGTAATAAAACATCGGGACTAAATTCTGATCCTATTTTACCGCCCAATAAAAACTGGTTACCTTTTGAAGCTTAGGGTGTGGAGTAGTTTCTCTTTGATCAGTAGTTTCTCAGCAGTCAAGAACAGTCAGAGATCTGAGTTTGGAGAATCTGAGCCTATGGTTCATGCTAACAGCTATCAAAGCCAATGGCTACACGGACCAGCAGTTATTCAAGCAGAAAAATACACCTGACTAGTTAATAGATCCAGACCATCAGCTCATTGAAGCATGTGCAACCAGATATACATCCAGGTTCCCATAAATAATGTAATTATGGTTCTAAAATTACTTATTTCTACTCATAACTCACTAAAGAGAATAACTGTTAAAGTTAGTGACCTCACTTTTTTTTCTGTGAATAAATCCATAACCCCTCAAGTGGAATATTCATAGCTTCACTTGGTTTAAATTCTTGTTTATTTCTCTTTTAAGGAACCTTTTTCCTGCCATACAGATTATTAATAAAGAAGTAATCAGTTGATTCATCTATTAGCAGAATAATCTTTAGTTGCAGCCCAAGTTAAGACTGTCACATTATTATTTTTCTTTTTTTATCCCAGAAGCACAATCCGCTAATTTCCCCATGGATCAAAAAACTTCTAGTAGAGCATTATTTCGGGATTATTTTGTGTTTAAATGCAGCTGATGAATAAGTTATTATCTAAAGAGTGAGATAAGAAGACAAATACAATCACGTCAGTTTTTGTGAAAGTTTCAAACCAAAGTGCTTTCCATAATTGTTCTGATTAGCAATGCAAACAATGAGTTTTCTACATAATTAAGTTTTTTTTATATATATAAATCAAAGTAATTGTATAATTACCTTATTAACAGTTTAATTGATATAAATGAATAAATATGACCTTAGATCTACATTAATAATGAGATTTTTAAATGTGTATTATTAACATCTTACATGATATAGTTCATGATTAAGGATATGAATAAATAATTTTCAGTAAAGTTTCCTCAAGTTAATTCAATGCCAATCTGGTGGTTTTTCTGTATAAATTGTATGCAAATAGGCTGATGAGATGAACTGGTGCAGTGACATCAGATCAGGCTCTAAACTCATTAGGTTATTTTTGTCATTCCTCTTTTTTCTGTTCTCAGCAAAGTTTTTGTTTTGAGATGCTAACAAAGTGTTAAAAAGGCTTTGCCTTTGAAATCCTGTACCTTCAGTCTTTGGAGTAAATGAAGTTAGCAGGAGACTTGCTAATGGATCCTTTTTATGGCCTTCCTGCAATCAGCTTAAGAAAAATATGTTTACTGGTTTTAGACAACAGTTTTATGTAAATTAACAAGCTGCAGATCATTTAGACCTTTTTTATCTCCTTCACAGGCAGGAACTGGTAGAGCAGCTTCAAGAGACGAGAGAGGAAAAGAAGAGGCTCCGCAAGAACCTGAAAGAGTTTGAGGAGCAATTCTTCCAAAAAAATGGAAGGTAAGATTCTGGCATGTTAACCCAAGCAAGACTTTACTCGTTTACATGGGAGCTGCATTTACTCATGTCTGCTATCGTGTTGTTTCACAGAACCGTCCAGAAAGAGGACCGCTCGCCACTTGCAGACGAATACCACGAATACAAACATGTGAAAGCCAAACTGCGACTGCTGGAAGTCCTCATCAGCAAAAGAGACTCAACCAAGTTCATTTGAGACAATATAAATAAAAATAGACTAACTCTACTAGGACTGGTGCTCAGTTTCCTGCGATACCAGCACATCTCACCATTGGAATAAACTGGGAACAACACGCTGCTCTGGAAACACACGAGACCACCTGTTTCTCCTGAAGTTCTTCCTCAGAACTTTGAAGCAAAGACTTTCTCAGACGCACAAATAATCACCGATAATTTATTTTTATTCATTTGAAAGATTTAAGACAATTTGTCTTATATTAAACTGTAGAAATGCTTAAAGTAAAATCCTAATATTATTTAGAAAGTCATGCAATTGTTGCAACTTTTTTTGAAGGGTTTTGTGATGAAGATGCGTATTTATGCCTATTTTTCTAAGGGAGATGTTACTGTGTTTATCACTCTTCAGCAAATGAATAGTTTTTGCTGTTTTAGTTTGGTTCCATCGTCTACTTTAAAGAAAAATGTTAATTTTGCTTCTTTAGAAGTTTAATCAGATGCTTGCTAATGAACATAAATTGATTTGTCTTTCACTACAACCACACATTGCATTTTAAAAGCACTGATCATCTGCTCATTCTGGTGACCACTTCAGCATCTAATGGGCTGTTTTTCTATATGCTTCTTGCTTTGTCAGATAAGCTGATCACTTTAGTGTTTCCATACACTGTTTAAAGCAGATGACCTGACTGCCTGTTTGTCTTTCTGTGAACTCAGATCACTACGTTTGTTTACGGTCCTGTGAGCAACTACTTCTCTCCTTTCCTACTACAATGGATGATTACCTGTGTACATTTTGTTTTCACAGTGTAAACACTGGTCAGGCTCCTGAGTGTGTACATTTTAGTACATAAAAATGTATTTTGTACATAATATGAATTAAATTGTATTTTTACTGATATTTTTTGCCTTAAACTTTTTATTTTTTCTTAACCCTTTATAGGGCAAGTAACTATTTTTGATCACTTGCATTGGTCTAGAAGCGCAAGATCTATATCCAGCCATTCAGCAAAGATCCTGCTACATGGCTGTACATCTTATTTTTGCATTTGACCAATTAGATGAGCACTTGAATGATATATTACCTACTGTAAATTACGTTAAAAAAAAGTTAAGTCAATAAAAAGGTAAAAAGCTGATTGAAAAGTAGAGTTAATAAGCCTAGTTAACAATTATATTTAGCTTTATAAACTAAAAAATATAACAAGTGCCAGTATCTGCATTAATGTTATGGTTATGTTGTGCCAAAAAACATTTTTCTTTCACTCTCAGTGAAAGAAGTGTTTTTCATGAATTTCTTATAGAAGCACTTTTGTTATTTTTCGTAATATATTCAGGCAAGTTGTCGTTTCTTGTTATTACATTGACATAGATTTTTAGCATCAAAATATCCAAATTTTTTAATGTTACAAAGAAAATAAGTTCTTGTCCTGGATTCCAATAACACCATTGGCTGTGCCCTATAAAGGGTTAAAGTTTTATCATTTTGAGCTTCAAGCTGAAAAGATGCCTGTGAAAATTGATCAAACCTGTTTAGTGGTTGCCATGACAACTGAGAACTAACAGTGGTTAGGGCCGTCTAGTGGTTAGGGCATAGGACTTTGAATCCTGAGGTTGTGAGTTCGATCCCCCACTCCCACAGACTCCCTGAGAAAGACCCGTAACCCCACACTGGCTGCCCCGCGACACAATGGGGATGGGTGAAATGCAGAGAAGTAATTTCCCTCTGGGATTATTAGAGTATATAAAATAACATAATAAAAACATGTTAGCAGGCACACCAAGAGATATAGGCTACCGTAGAAAGCCCTGAATAAACTGTTTTGCAAAGACTTTAAACTGATTCCTGCTTCAATAAGAACGGAGGACCATTCCCGCCATAATTAAAATCCACAAATAAACGACTCAAAAATATAAACCGTTGCCTAAATAATAGTTTAAAATTTTAATTAGTTAGCCAAAAGTGATAAAAATCTGATTGTATCTTTTCTAACCTTTTTATTTCTTATTTATTCTGATAACTGTCTAACCCAGAAAACAATCAGTTTTCAGGAGAATGTTGTTTTTTGGGTGCCTTTAAAATCAAAGCATACAGACACACAGCATGCAGACAATGTTTACCACATCTAATCACATCACACATATTTTAGGGACTTCACGGTTGAATTAACATCATCACATTTGGTGAATGGGGGCAATTTACAGCAAGAACCATAGTATTAACTATTTAAAAGTTATCAGACAAGCAATATATCTGTCCTGATATAGAGGTGAGCTTCTGATCTAAATGTCAGGAATAGTCCACAATCAGTCCAGGGAGAGGTTCATTTATCATCCTAATTAAATAATAATACAGGCCTGGTTGATTGTTAAATAAAATGATTTGCCGTCTAGTGAACAGCTCCAAATAATAAAGACAATTTGCTTTTCCTCCACTTCTTGCTTAAAGGTCTTTGTAAATGTTTTGTATGAGAGAGGATCCCACAAAAGCTTCTGTTATTTTATTTTGTCTGCACATGATGGTCAGTACATCTCCTGGATGATTTGCACTGACCTGCTTGTGGTTGTTAGTTGATGTTGAAATTGCTTTGATATGCGCAGAACATTTTGCCGGTCGGCTGAATCGTATTTATAGTCATACCTCGATGATGCTTTTACCCCTTTGTTTTGTCTCCCTGGGTCCCACGTCCTTTAACCTTTATGATGGCAATTGTGTTGACTCCCATAGTTCTGCTTTTTTTCCTTGTTTCAGAATTAAGTTACTTTTCTATAGGATTTAACATCTTGAAGGACTCCGTTTTCCCTTTCCCCCTTTAGGAAAGCATTTCATTAGTAGGGTCATTAGAAGAACCATTTTCATCTAAGGCTTGTAATACAGCCAACTTTGCTGTGGATGCAGCTATTTTGGTTTCCAGGTCAAGCTGCTCTTTTTCTCCTCAGCTGCACTTCCTGCTCATTCAAATTATATTTGCTGGTAAAGCTGCAGCATGAAACACTAGTGCTGCCCTTTCTGCCTCAGCCTTTCTGACTGCAAATGATTTAAGGCTTGACCTGCCACTTTTATGGCTTCCATGGCTTGATTGTTTACTGATATTAGAAATTCTGTCCTCTGGATTAATGTCATCTACAAAATCCTTTTCTTTTGCACATCCCTCGTCACACGCAACCCACCTGTTAGTATTTACAAAGCACTCATCAATAGACAACATTTTTGCTTTAAGTTTTATGTCACGTTTTTCCCTTTAAACACAAGGTGGCAAATTTAACAAACTTTGTACATTTTTCACATCTTTAAACACTTCAATAAAGTCTTCAAGAGTATTTTACACCTATTCATGTTTCAACATTAACAACATTTTCTTCCTTATATTTCTGCTAGATTGCAGTTTTTCCAATTAATTTGCAATTTCCTTCACAGTAAGCCTAACCTCACACTTTTGAATTTGTAATTCATTACCGTCCATCTGGTCAAAATTTGTTATTAATTAGCGCAATAGTCCCAGTTATGTTCATGTCAGATGCAGCATAACACATCTCAATAATAATTGGAATGTAGTGTTAACAACTTGCAGCCAAATTCAACAAATATGAGGTCCAATGCATTGGATTTATGCCTCATTTTGTGTGCACACATTATACAAGGCCATAAAGTTTTCTCTACATTTCATTACATCGATGAGCTTGTTTGGTTCTGGAATAACAAAGACAGCCAGGCGTGGTAAAAGCAGCTGATTAGTCTAGCAGCAGGCAGAGCACAGTTTCAATGGCAGGACTAACAGATTAAAAGGGTACAACCAGTCAGAAAAGCACAGAAAGATGCAATAACATCCTTTTATAAAGGCTGTTGAAGCAGCCAGTTGAAGTTTTAAACATTTTTCTTCCCTCAACCTCCAATGAAGGGATGAAAAATCCTCCTTGAAAGATCTAACCATGGAGTAACCAGCAACCCTGTGCTCCATTAAAGCCAAGAGAGGCCTGATCCTACACTTAGCCCCGCCTCCCAGCTGCTCTCATCTTAATTACCTCAATATCAGTTTTTTGGCTTAAAAGCTTCTACATCCAACAGGATGATTTACAAGAATTAAACTCATCCATCTATTCATCAATTGAGTGACATAAAAATGATTGGAGATTAAATTTTTATCCTCAGCTGAAACTGGAGGATTAAAAAAACGTGTGTGGAAACCAATGAGCTGCTCTGAAACGGACGGTCACAGAACGGTTTAGTTTACAGAGATGAGAAGAAAAGAAATACAAACTGTCATCATTCAGAGATCCATCAAAATCAAAATAGAGGCAAACACTGCAGAAATCTTTCATGTTTTTTATTTGAAACCTTGGCGTGAACAGCTAACATTCTATAGCCTTCAGACAAATATGCAGAAAAAGTCACATTTTCTGTAGCACAATAAAATTCAAGGGCTGCACTAACCTTTGCATAGGACTTCAGTGTGAGGGAAAATGAATGTTGAACATGAGTGATCATACAGCAGAGCTGAAGCCAAAGGATGCAGCGTCATCAGAAGGTAAACCCAGAGATTGGACGACATAACTTGGCTGATTCAAGTTATTGCTGAGTAGCTCGAGAAGATATACTTTTTATCACTCATTTCGCACAGGCTGGACTTCAGGAATACACAGAGTATCAGGAAAAGCTCTAGAACAAATGGTAGCTAAATCTGATCAGACTCATGTTTGCCAACGACTTAATATACACGTCATTAAAATAGTTAATCATGACAAATTTAGTTACTATTAGTTGATATAGCTGATAATTACATGAACTGATAATATTCTAATATATTTATCTCTAAGTGAAATTTTTGGGACATTCTTCATGCTTCTTTGACTCTTTACTCATACGACTGGAACCTGCAGCTGACATATCGCATAACATCCAGCTCTCTGGAACAGAACCAGTCGTCGTATTTTCAGATAAATTCCCACCTAAAACCTGGTTCCCCCACCGATAAGCACACAGACAACACCCAGGGACTAAACGTCAGCTTCATGTCCTTCCAGAAGGCAACACTGTTGAATGCAAGTAAAAAGGTGTCAGCTGTTTCTGAATTTACAGCTAAACTGGAATGAACCATTAGGTTGTTTCCCTGGAGCCTTCATCAGCCTGCAAAGACTCCTCTGCCTCCCCCCCGCTTTAAATGTCAGGCGAGGACATCCTGGTGTGCGGGGTTTAAAGGATCAGCATTACTATGGCCCCTCCCAAACACCAGAGCTTTAGATTTGATTACATATGCTGTGTTCCAACAATATACATGTTCAAGTCATCAAAATATAAAACACTCTGTTTGATAAATTAAAAACAAAAGCAAACATACTGTTTCAGGATAATAAGATGAACATTTCAAAGGTGAAAAATAGAATTTAAGGAATATAAAATACACAGATTTGCAGAAGGAAAACGATGCAAAAATCCAGAGGTTTCCTCACCATTACTGTTTTCTGATGTCCAGACATGCAAATTTCCATCAGCGATCTCTTTATTGAAATACTTAGACTTATTTCCAATCATAAAATCCTAATTTCCAGCAGTAAAATTAATGTAAAGATATATAAGCACATAGACCTTCAAAGATTCAGGATCTCAAACAATCTGCATCCCATCATTACTCCCCCAGATCTGTTAAAGTGCGTTAAAGTCCCCCCTCAGACCAGGCTGAAGCCCTCGTACTGCTCCACAGCCTGAGTGAGGCGGCGTTGCAGGATCTCTTTGGTCTGGTAGCGGGGCATGTCCAGGAGGTTGTAGCAAGTGTGAGCCACGGGCAGGTAGTCTTCCTCTGCCGTGGTGGACTGGATGACAATCCGGAGGCTCTCCATGCCGTGGATGGGGATGCGGTCGCTGCCCGTCAGGAACACTGTA